CGTCCACTCCCCCACTCGTCCCACTCCCCCGACTCGTCCCACCTCCCCCCCATCGTCCCACTTTCCCCCCCTCCCTCTTCCCCCCCGATCGTCTGCAACATCAAGCATATCTCGACCATTCGAGCCCCTGTGCCACAGTACTGAGCGCACGATAGCCATGAGTGACCGAGTCCGGACTCGAGCCCCCATCGAGCGTCGCCCAGTTTGCGACGAGCGGACGCTGATCACGGAGCAGCTCGAGGTGGGCATACTCGACGCCACGGGTGTGGAGGAAGAGGTTGGACATTAGGCGAGGCAAACATGCCTGGGCACCCGAAGAAGAAGGCTTTCTCCACCTTGGGTTCTCCACAGACCTCTCCTGTGCGGGTACGTGACGTACCAGGCCCATGACTGTTCCCCCGTCTGCCTGGCGCCAAACAGACTCACCTTGGAACACGTTGCGTTTATCGATGACTTTATCAATGGCGGCGATCGGGGGGGGGGGGGGGGACCATCTCTGGCGATCATTGCTGGCGAACACTACTGAACCATGTACGGCAACGATCAACGGCAACCATGTACGGCAACCATGTACGGCGACCATGTACGGCAACCATGTACGGCAACCATGTACGGCGACCATGTACGGCAACCATGTACGGCGACCATGTACGGCAACGATCAACGGCAACCATGTACGGCGACCATGTACGGCGACCATGTACGGCAACCATGTACGGCAACGATCAACGGCAACCATGTACGGCGACCATGTACGGCGACCATGTACGGCGACCATGTACGGCAACCATGTACGGCGACCATGTACGGCAACGATCAACGGCAACCATGTACGACAACCATGTGCGGCAACGATCAACGGCAACCATGTACGGCAACCGCCGACGGCAACATTCTGCTGATCACATCGGACGTACTCATTATTCCGCCACCGACCACAACTGCTCAGAACACAACCTTGACAGACTCATCGCTCGCACGCGGGCCGCGACGGATGGCTGCCCCGCTTCCGGCTCCGGTCACTCACTCAGCGCCGTTGTCGTTCTCGGGCACTTCGTCGTACGCGGCGTCATACGCTCCACGCCGTGGCTTGGATGTGCATCGTCTGCCGCCGCCACACGCCCAACGACGCTCGCGCCCGCGTCCGTCGCTCGCCCTCATGCGGCTGCACGCCGGCGCAGGCCGAAGCCTCAATGAGATTGAGGCTGCTGCCCTCGCTGACGCTGATGAAGAGAGAAGGCTCCGCCGCGCCGCCGAAGAGCGCGCCCGTGCCGCACATCATCCGGCGGCAGCATGGGCCCACGCGCCTGTCCCACGCCCGCGGGTCGTCCACTCGACGCTCGCCGACACCCACGCCCGGCTCTTCCCGCCGGCTAGGCCGTCGCTCCCGCGTCGCGCGCTCTCCCGCGCCTCGGCCTCCTATCCGCATCCGCGTCCGTACCCGTCTCCGAGCCAGCAGCTCCGTGCTGCATCGTCACTTGGTCTCCGCCATGAGCTCCCACCGCCTCCGCCGGCACCCCGCCATCGTGTTTCCATCCCGGAGAAGCGGCAGGCGACGCTTGACGACGTGCCCGAGTGGGAGCGAGCCCGACCGGTTTTCTCCTCCAAGCGGCGGTATGCGCCGCTCCAAGGCTTTGACGGCGATCCGCGGTACTACGACATGTATCTCCCTGCGTCGTCGGCCAACGACGCCCCGCGCGCTGCCGCTGGCGGCCTCGGAATCGCCAGCTCGGTCTCATACGACATTCTCGCCCCGCGATAGCGGCGATGTGGCTGCATTTACCTTGTTGCCGAGTCAAGCAGGCACGCCGCCGCGTCGAGCATGGCCTTGAGCGGCGCCGCGTAGTTGTCAGACGTGATGGCCTTGGACGCGCGGATCATGTCGCCGGCGTGGGCAGACAAGATCTTTTTCTCCTCCTCCGAGAACCGCGAGCTCGGCGCGTCCTGCAGCGCCTTGACCGCCATCAGCATCTTCTTCAGCTGCGGGACGAGCTGCTCTGACGCCGGCAGGGCGCCAGCCGCAACCTTTGACGCCAGCCATGCATGACCCTCGCGGATGTCGGCCACGTAGTCGCCGCCGGGCTTGGGCGCCGCTGGCGCCTTCCGTCGCGGCTTGGCAACCCGCCCCCCCTCAGGTGCCGACTCGCCCCGGGCCGGCGGCTTGCCCGGCTGCTTGGCCGTCGGCGGCGGCGGACGCGGCTTGCTTGGCCGTGGCGCGACGTGCGGCTTTCCCGGTCGTGGCTTGGTTGTCGGCGGCTTGCGTCGCATCGGCGACGCATCGCCGGGCTTGGTCGGCAGCCGGGGCGGCTTGCCCGTCTTTGGCGATGACTCTGGCGACGGCAGCGGCTTGGCCGGCAGCCGCGGCGGCTTGGCCGACTTGGGCGACGGGGCCGGAGACGGCAGTGGCTTGGACGGCAGCGGCTTGGCCCGCGACGACGGCGCCTCGTCAAACGGATTGAGCTCGGCAGGCAAGTTCGCGGTAGCCTCGCTACCGCCCGGAGTGTCAAACGGGTTGCCGGCACTGGCCGGCTGCGGTGGAAGCGGCGGGAGCGGCGACCGGCCCATGTCTGGAAAATCGGCCTCGCCGCCCGACGGCTGATGCGGCGTGTCTGGTTGGATCGTTGAGGCCGGTGACCGCGGCGGCACTGCCGGCGCTGGTTCCGCCGCCGTCGCCGGCGCCACGTCGGGCGTCAACTTCTTAAAGTCGGTCGGGCCCGAGATGACCGAGCCCGAGGTGGCGACGCCCTGGGTCTTGGCCACCGCCAGGGTCGACGGCGAGTTTGCAGTGGCGAGCGAGGACATCCACTGCCATTTGAACTCGGGACTCGCAGCTTGAAAGTAGATGGTCGGTGGCGGGACGTCTGCATCTGAGCAGAGCTTGAACATGACGTCGTCCTTGGACGATCCACCGAGAGCCTTGCGTTCGCGCAAGCCGATGTGATCGACATAGTAGCGGGCCAAGTCAAGCGAAGTAACCAGGCGCTCCTTGCCCATGGTTGCGTAGTAGTTGAGAGCGCCCGAGCCATACGAGCCACCAAGCTCCAGGACAAACCAGTACTCGGTAAAGGCAAACTGATTCTCATCCCGAACAGACAGCGGGCCCTCCATGAGGGTCCTGCGAGGCAGATCCCATTCCGGGGCGCAAGCGAGACCAGCCTTGACCAGTACCTGATCCAGAACCAAACCCATATGTATGGTATCAAGAGTACCTTGAGGAAGACCAAGATCAAGTTCAACACGACGAGCGAGTTCACGACGAGGTGGAGAGACATGAAGCGAGGTCTGTCCGTCACTGGCCAGAACGTTGGAAATGCTGCGACGGAGCAGGTACATGACCACATTCTCCGGGTTGTCGGGAATGCTGTTCTCCTCCGACATATCTTGCTTCCTTGGCTTCTGTCTTGCTCCTTCCGCTCTCTTGCTTCCAACTCGGTCCTTCACAATAGTAAAATGCCTTCCTTCCCCTTGGCTACCTCAACAAAGCTTCCCGACTGCTCCCACCTACTTCCTCCCAAGCTGCCGCTCCGAGCGAGAGACACGTGGTTGCTCCCGCTCGCACCGTTCGAATTTCGTTGCTCAAAAAGCCTTTCATTCCAGCCGACCGCGAAAAAAAAAATAATGGTCGTTGCCTCGTTTCGGGTTGGTTGGCCACCCTCCGCTCATTTGGTTCCTATATTTTTTCTCGTCGCACATGCAGCTCAGGCTTGGTGGACTGACGTTCAGAAGTGTTTATGGGTGCGGTAGTCATGGGAGGGATATGTGTGTGAAGGGTATAAATAAAGGATGTAGCGCAGCTGGTTGGTGTGGGATGCGGTGCTATAGGGAGGCGAGGAGGAGGGAGTGCATAGGCGGGGCATTGGCTTGCCGAGGGAAAATTTAGCCGCTACCGTCGCGAGGGTGTTCGGCAACAACGAGCTCACCAGGGCGAATAGCGGTAGGCAGTTAAATCCGCAAGTCTTGCGCGTCTTTGCTAGGGTGTTGCCACTCCCTAAAGTGCTCTCATCTCTTTGTTGTGCTTATCATACAGACGTGACAGAAAGAAGACCCTGTTCGGCGTTTCTCAAACTACCTTTCAATTTTTCCCCCGCCCCCTCCCCTGCCATTGTCCCACGCCCGGGTTGTGGGCGGGATGAGTCGAGCTCTCCCAAATCGAGCTCGACTCACGCCCCTGCTGCGAGAGACGGCAGCACCACTCACCGTCGTCCTTGGCATGCAGGTCGACTACCTTGTACTTGGTGGAACAGTGGTGGACGGGCTCGGTGGGGAGCCTGTGGTGGCTGACGTGGCCATTGCTCGCGGGCGGGTCGTCGGCGTCGGACCGGCGCTCTCCACAGCGTACACTGTCGCCGATCCGTCCACCGATCTCATCGATGCATCGGGTCTGCTTGTCCTCCCTGGCCTCATTGACACCCACGCCCACGACGACTCGGTCCTCCTCCACCCGCATCCGCCAGCTCCTCGTGCCGCAGCTGCGCCTGTCCCTAGTCCAGCGGCCGATGATGGCGGCATCGATGCACATCATCCTCTGCTCCCAAAGGTGGCTCAGGGCGTGACGACGGTCATCATCGGCAACTGTGGCATCTCGCTAGCTCCGCTCAACGCAGCAGCGTCGTGCACATGTGGTGCTGCGGATGGCGAGGTGTACAGCTGCACCTGCTCGCCGCTGCCGTCGCCGATGTACATCCTCGGCCCGCGAGCACGCTACTCGTTCGACTCGATGGATGCGTACATTGCTGCGCTAGACGCTGCCGAGCTACCAGTCAACGTCGGAGTGTTGGTGGGTCACGCTTCGCTCCGTGCCCGCGCCATGGGCGAAGACGCGCTGGTCACCCGACCCGCCAACGCTGATGAGATGGCGGCTATGCAGAGCAGCCTAGCTGAAATGGGCGCAGCGGGCCAGGTCCTCGGCCTCTCCACCGGTTTGTACTACGCCATCGGTGCACCGGCACCGACCGAAGAAGTGGTGGCGCTTGCTGCGACCCTGGCCAATGCCTCGAATGGGGCTGCGGTCTACACCACACACCTCCGCGACGAGACGTCGGGCGTCGAGACTGCGCTCGACGAGGCCATTGCCATTGCCGATGCGGCCGGTGCCCACCTCGTTGTGTCGCACGTCAAAGCTGCAGGCTCGGACAACTGGGGCAAAGGACCGGCACTGGTGGAGAAGCTGACCAACGCAGCAGCGGCAGCGCAAGCTGCCGGGCGCAACGTTGCCTTTGACGTCTACCCCTACACCGCGAGCTCAACTCATCTCTCGGCACCGCACATCCGGCGGTCATCGTCGTCACTTTTGGCCTGGTCGGCGGTCGCACCGCACTTGGCTGGCGCTGAGATCCTCGATGCGGCGGCGCAGCTTGGTCCCGAAGGAGCGCCGCCGCCGACGCCCGAGCAGGCAGTCGCTGCGCTCGAGCCCGGCGGTGGCATCTACTTTCAGATCGACGACGGTGACCTGGAGACGCTCCTGGCGTGTCCGCTGGCCATGGTCGGCTCGGACGGACTGCCTCTCGACTCGCGGCCGCATCCGCGGCTGTACGGCACCTTTACGAGGGTGCTCGCCAAGTACGCGGCGGCCGACGACGGGCTGCTCCCGCTGGCCGAGGCAGTCCGGCGGATGACCTCGCTACCGGCACAGACCTTCGGCCTCGTCGACCGCGGCTCGCTTACAGTCGGCGCGTTTGCCGACCTCGTCGTTGTTGACCGTACAGCGCTTACTGAGAGGGCGACGTATGAGGAGCCACGGGCGACGCCAGCAGGCGTGCACTACGTCTTTGTCAACGGCGAGCCGGTGGTGCGCGCAGGCGGTGCGCCGCCCGCGCGCATCTTGGCCCATCCGGGCATGGTCCTCAAGCGACCGGCAGCGGTCCATGTGGCACGGATGAAGGAGGCACTGCGGGTGGCGGCCGAGGCGCCGCTCGTGAGCGAGACGCCGGTCGGCGCGGCATGGTTCGACGACCGTACCGGCGCGTTGGTCGCCACCGGGCACAACCGGACGGTGGCGTCGCGCAATGCGACTCTTCACGCCGAACTTGTGGCTCTCGGCGAGCTCGAGGCCGAGCTTGGATCGGCCGAGGCACTTGCGGCGCTAGCGCCGCACCTGCACCTTTACGTCACGCTCGAGCCGTGCGGCATGTGCTTCTCGGCGCTGCGCGAGCTCGGCGTAGGCGCCATCCACTACGGCGCAGCCAACCCGCGGTTCGGCGGCGGGACGGTGCTCAACCTCAACGCCGAAGCCGCCGCCATTCCCTGCGTCGGCGGCGTCTGCCGCGACGACGCTGTCGAGCTTCTCAAGTCGTTTTACGCGACCCAGAACCCCGCGACGGCCGGCATTCACGAGACGACACAGGCATAGCCAACGTCGGCATAGTCCGCCCCGTCATCGTCATCATCATCGTCATCACTTCCGCCGGCGGTGTTGAGACCGTTGTCGCCGGCAGCACTGCTGCCCACGGGGGAGGTGTCGGCGGCGGGGATGGCGAGAAGCGACTCGGCTGACAGTGCGAGGGTGATCTCGTCGCGGACCGAGGCGAGTGTTGCGTGGTCCTTGAACACCATGCGGCAGGCAAAGCCGGTGCCGAGTGGCCCAGCGTCGAGGGTGTCTGTCCACGACGCGACCGGCTCATCCGGGACGGAGACGCCGGCGAGGACGGCCGAGGCGGTGCGGGAGCGGCGGCGGGCGGAGCGGTCGCCGGCAAGGGCCGGGCTGACGACGTCGTAGTGGGCGTGGGTGGTAAAGACGTCAAGCACGTAGAGCTTAGCTGCAGCAGCAGATGCGTCTGACGACGAGGCAGCCGGAGGCTCGGCTTCGCCATCGGCGACAATCTCCGAGGCGTCGGCGTCGCCGTCGACGCCCAGCAAGCGGCGGGTATCGACGACGCGGACCGAGCGCAGCGGAAGGCGGCGCGGGCCGCGGGCAAACACCGCGTGGGCCTTGTACCGCTCGACCTTTTTGAGGCGCTTGGTAGTGTGCTTGGTGACCACCAGCATGTCGTCGAGGACGTACAGCTTGCGGTCCGGCTTGGAGATGGACGAGTCGAGCCACGGCGGCGAGACGACAAAGATGTTGCGGAGGACGGAGCGAAAGGCATCGGTCCAGGCCTGAGCGTCAGACGGCGAGTTGGCGACAAGTGTGAGGCCGCGGGAGAGGGTGGCGAGGTGCAGGGTGTTGGCGGCCGGGAGTGAGAGGGCGACGACGTCTGTGAGGACAACGACACCTTCGGCAGGTGCGGTCGCGGTCTCGGCCTCGGACTTCCAGAAGACCAGCTGGCCGTTGGCGTGAAGCCGGAACCAGCGCTCGTTGTAGGTACGTGCGCTAGGAGTCGTGGCCATGCCGAGCATGCCCTCAAGGACGACAGCACGGCCGGCGGCGAGGGACTTTGACGACCTCGTGTCGCGGCGGCGGGCGATCTCGGCCGAACGGACGGCGTCCCAGGTGGCCAGTGCACCCGGAGCCACCGGCGGCGGCGGAATGTGGACCACCACGGCGACATCGTCGACGGTCAGTCGCGCCCGATGGGTTGACGCACTCAGCGACGCGGCAAGATTGGGCGGGAGGTCGACAAAGGTGGCCGCCAGCTGCGCAAACTTCTCGCGCGCATCTTGTATGTGGCGGGCTTCGTTGAGCGAGGCGGCAAAAGCCTCGACGGCGGCGTTGGCAGCCGCAAGTGGGCGGGCGTCAGCGTGGCTGGCGGGCGTCCGCTTGACCAGGTCCTTGAGCAGAAGCAGATACCGTGGAATGCGCTGGATGGGGGTAAGGAGGAGGGCCGACAAGTCGTAGGCCATGGCGTTGATCATGGGCGCATCGGACCCAGCAGCAGCAGTGAGAGCTGCAACTTCGTCGGCGACAGCGGCCTTGACAAAGGCCTTGAACTTGGACCCTGTCTTCTTTGCGGCCATGAGATGCTTCAACCGGGCCTGAGCCGCTTCGTTGCGCGTGATGACACGAGTGTACGGGGCGAGCATGGGATTGAGAAAGCGAGGCGAGAAGATGGGCCCCAGTTTTGTGCGATCCGAGAAGCGAGTAAGGCGAGATTTGAGATGAGAGCGAAGACTTGCATGCAGGGCGATGAGATCCTCCACATCATCAAAGAACAGATCAACATCATCCATAGTCATGCCCAGCTCTGCCAGGGCCTTCTTCTCCAAGCCACGAAACGGTTTGCCAAAGACTCTCAACATAGTCTCCAACCCCTTAATATACGTCTCTTCCGTCGCCAGCATCTCCACAGCAATCTGTTCCCGTGCCGCCGTCGACGGGCAATCACGAGTTGAGCTCGGAGGCGGCGGAGGGCGCTCTTCCCCGGACGACGACGAGTTTCCCATGGCCAGAGGTAGACGGCGAGCGAAGTGGTGAACAAGGTGAGTGAATGAGTGCGCGCGTGTGTGTGTGGGGAGATGGAGTGTATGGGTGTGTGTGGGAGAGGTGGTATGTGTGTGAGTGTGTGTATGTGTTGTGGGGGTTGGGGGGGAGAAGGTGGTGCCTGTTGCGTCTGTCAATGTCATGATTTTGACGGGCGGAGAGCAGAGGGCGACATTCCTCAGGATCGCTTTTTCTTATGCCGACGGGAGGTCATCCTCCCCTGGCAGCATCGGGATGCACTCTGCTCGCGGTTTGCGGCACGTGTGGTGCATGTTACTTATCATTGCTGTGTGGTGGCTCTGGCGGGGGCGCACCTCCATTGATCTACTTGCGCGGGTAGAGGGACTTGAAGGCGACAAAGCCGGCGGCAACGATGGCGGCGACAGTGGCGGCAGTGGCGACGAGGCAGAGCTCCGATGAGAGCCAGCCGGCAGAGGCCGCGGCCTCGGGCGTGATCGGGCCACCGATCTGTGGGCGGAGTGGGAAGGGGAGGATGAGTAGGGGGCGGGCCGTAGGGGGGAGGGTAGCACAGCGGGTAGCGATCCGTTTATGGAGGGAGCCATGTCGCCGCCAACGGAACGCACCGTGGATGTACGCGGAGAGAGCAGCCGTCGGAAGGAAGGCAGACCGGCTGCAATGGGCAGAGGCGTCCAAGCAAACAAGAGGACAACGTTTGCGCGAGGCCAGCCGTGGACATAGACCGCGCAGCACGGCGCGAGTACACCTGCATAGCAGTGACAAGGCAGGCATGCAAAGGCATTGCGCAGACGAGTCCAAGGCGAGTACGCCGCAATCCAGAGCAGGCGATGCAGCTTCGAACAACCGACGCAGGGGAGAGCAGGGGGGGGGAGGAAGGAGAACAGGGGCAGGGGAATAGAGGACAGGGTGTAGAACGAGGATACAGCCATCTTCCGAAGCTTAGAGGATGGTGCACCACGAGTCACCAGCACCCGCACCACCAGCCGGCCGCTCACGCACCTCTGCGGGGTCGACGTCACCAACGAGGTAGTCCTTGAGCATGGCCACAGCCTCAGACGAGTGACCGACATCCTCAAAGCCATCGGTACCATCCTCACCTATATACACGATACATGTAGTAATGTGAGTGTGAATCATCAACTATCATGCCCACCATACTATTGGTTGAGTGAGGCTGGGCGGCAGGCAGGCATGTGCCAACGAGTACGTAGCCAACCAAGGACATTGGACACGTCACACACCATTCCTTCGCACCCTCTCCGTTCCCCTCCCCCCACCCACCCCCCTGTCCCCACCCACCCCCCGCAGGGTTGGCAAGGACGACAGCCATGACTGACAACAACCCCAATCCACCAGAATATGAAACAAGGATTATTGTATCACGTAGAGTGGTTGGATGGGCTTGTAGCATCTTGCTGTCTTCATACTAGCCGTGTGAAGGGGATGGGGGAGGTGGGGGGGGGAAGGCGCTCGCGGGCGACGGGTCATCCCATCTTTGAAGGCAAGGGGGAAGGGGGGGGGGGGGGGGAGGGGGATGGGCAAGGGGTACGTACCAGCAACGTCAAGGAGGACCTCAGCACCACCGGGGTGGTCGTCAATAAAGGCAGTCACATCGTAGACCTTGTTGTCGATCACAATCCAGCAATCCTCAGCCGTGTTGTGCTCGGCAACCTCAGCAAGCTCGAAAGTCTTCGACATGATGCTCAGTCGAGAAAGGAGTTGGGTGGCGGGCAAATGGTCGGGGTCGGCCGGAGGAATGGCTTGCCGCGGTGAGTCGGGCGATGGCCGACTTGGTCAGAGGTGCTGCGGGCAAGAGGAGAAACATCGACCAGTGGAACGCGGGCAAGTTGGTGAAGCGGCCGCGAGATCGAGCCGTACCGGTCTTGCTGTTGTGTCTGATTGGCGAGACGGATGGCTTGCGGCGTTGAGGCGGGCGATGGCTATCTCGGCCGATGCCGATGTAGACTCAACTGGAACAAAAGGACCCCCGGTGAAGGGGGCTCATACTCGTGCTGCCCGTTGCTGGATGGGCTGCCCGCTGGTGGATCGGTGACCCGTTGCTGGATGGGCTGCCCGCTGCTGGATGGGCTGCCCGTTGCTGGATGGACTGCCCGCTGGTGGATCGGTTGCCCGTTGCTGGATGGGCTGCCCGCTGCTGGATGGGCTGCCCGTTGCTGGATCGGCTGCCCGCTCGTGGATGGGCTGCCTGCTGCTGGATCGGTTGCCAGAGATTACACTCTCCCCGACCAAGTACTGGCGCGACGAGTTTGGCCGAACCGAGAGCCAAGCGTGAGCGACCACTGCTCGCCACCATGGCCACACCAGAGACACGAAAGCTGTTCAAACAGCTGCAAGGCATCAACAACAACAACGTAAGTCTACCCAGAGCCACAGCAGAACATGCTCTACCTGCACATCCTCTTTCCCCCCGAGTGCAGTTGGCCATATCGACAAAAGGGTGGATGTGCGTACCGGCGTGTGCCGCAGGTCACAGAAGGTCTACACCTCCCCCTCCC